AAACGAAAACGGAAAATCTCAGTTTTCAAAAATACCCGTGTACGTGTGGACGTAGCCTTAGTATGTTCCCTTCAGTATTTTGCGATGAGTTGATGAGATTGTTGGTGTTTTGTGTTTAACAACAATAACAGCTTCTTTGTTGTTGTTTTTTTCTTTTTCTTTTAAAAATCAGTTAAAACATTGCAGCCGCTACATCCACGACCTTTTCCCGTCTCTCATTAAAAACCTCGATCCTGTGCCTCTCCGTCACGTCCTCAACCTGGTATCAGGCCTGCATCCGAGCACTCACACCGAGCAGGTACAAAACATTCTGAAGTTGAAGCACTGGGCACAGTTTCACCAACATTGTCTTTAAGTGGTTGTGACGTCGCTATGATGAATTGCTTCTGTGTTTCCCCACTCTCCCCGGACAGACGCTGTACTTGGCCTCTATGCTGATTAAGGCCCTCTGGAATAATGCATTGGCAGCAAAAGCCCAGCTCTCCAAACAAAGCTCCTTCGCCTCCCTGCTTAACACCAACATCCCCATGGGCAACAAGAAAGGTCAGCGTGCTTGCATTTCAGTACAAAGCCTGTTATTTTAAAAAAACCAAAAAAACAACAAAAACCCCCAGAAATGTAGTTTTTAATTTCTGGTTTTATAACTGGACCTGCCTTCTTCATTAACGATCATTTTAGGATAAAATTTCTTCCAAAATACAAAATGTTCCACAACCCAAGAGATTTTCTGCCACTTGATTTAAAGAAAAGCAAGAAACAAGTTTTTAATTTCATTCAATAGTGGCTAAAATAATTATATACTCAGTCGCACCTGTCGGGATAATTGATAATGTGATTCTAGGACAGCTGACATCATTTTTGCCGCGTGTCTGCAGATTTCCATTGGCAATATCTACAGTTAAGTTGCAGATATCTGCAGTGTGATTTCCAGATATTTGCATCTTCAGATTTAGTTACCGTTCCTCTATATATGTACAGTTTGGTTATGACTTTAGGATGAGTTGTGTTTTAACACAATAAAGTCCTGAATCTTCATTAGACCTGGTCAATTCCACTTTCAGACTGTTGATGCGTTATCGAGCCTCAGGATTATACACGGTCCTCAGTCTGTCGTCTAATGTGGTTTCAGGTTCACCGGCCGCAAGTCCAGACAGCAGTGACAATAGCGACACACAACACAGTGGAGGCAGCGACATGGAGATGGATGACCAGATGATGACTGGCAGCAAGAGGAATCAGCAAAGACTATCTGACACAGAGGTATAGAGCACATACGGTGACACAATAAACTAGGATCAGGTGGTAGAGCAGGTGTTCTACCAATGTGAAGGTCAGTGGATCGACCCTGACTTCAGTCTGCATGATGCTGAACCTCAAGTTGCCCCCAGTGCATCTATTAGAGTATGTGTGTGAATGTTAGAAAGTGCTGTAGGAAAGTGGGTACGATTGGCTGAGTGTTGTATGCAAGTATGTAAGTACCAGTCCATACAAACAAGAGAATACAGAGCAACTGATTTATTTTCCTCAGTGGCTTTAACAGTCGTGATTGTTTTGAAGTCTGTCCTATCCTTGTGACCTTCTGCACTATGAAGGTCACTTTGACTTTTCTGGCCATAATAATTTTTACTTTGGGTCAAAAATTTCAGTCCAGTTTTTGAAATTATTAAAATGACGTATTCTGAAGGGAGTTGAGGCCCTTAAATCTTACATCATGACCTGTTTCTTTGTCTAATGTCTTTCTGTAATGTCTAATTAAAGCCAGGACGTTAACGTAAAATGCACAACCAGGTGAAAAGAGCTGCTGTTGTTTCCTCAGGAGTCTATGCAGGGCAGCTCAGATGAAACTGCCAACAGCGTGGAGGAAGGCAGCAGCGGACCAGGCAGCAGCAGCGGCCGCAGCGAGGCTTCCAGCAACGAAGCCGCCTCCAGTCGAGCCAGCCAGTCAGCTGGGAGCCCAGGCAGCGAGCTGCACTCTGATGACATGGCAGATAGCGAGGCCTTAAAGGAGGAGGAAGAGGAGGAGGAAGAGGATGAAGAAGAAGACGAAGAGGAGGAGGATGATGACGATGAAGAAGATGAAGATGAGGGTAACCGCTCAGCTGCTGAAGGTGGGCACCAAAAGGAGCCCCGGGAGCAGACTGAGTCAAGGAAAAGGAAAGCCGGGGATGCTCTTGGTGAGGGGGCAGGGCCGAGTGGCCCAGGGGGAGGAGCCAAATCCAAGGTTCTCCCTTTCAACCCAGAAACTTCTGCTATTATGGTAACGGCGGCGACAGCGTCTCTTGAGAGCCGCATGAGAATGCTTGACACTTGTTCAGCATCGTCATCTGCTCGGCCTGATGGGACAGAGACCCAGCAGCAGCCGCCAGATATCAGCCCTTCTCAGATCGTCCAAGGACCTCAGGAGCCTCCCTGTCTCCCGCGACCCGGGGACTTCCTAGGAGAGGCCATGAGCAGTGAACTCTTCAACTGCCGTCGTTTCATTGGCCCTCAGCACCACCACCACCATCACCACCATCATCATCACCACCACCACCATCATGAAGGGTAAGACTGCTACACTTCTGTTTATGAGTGGCTAACACAGTGTGTCTGTCTACTGAGCACATATTTTCAAATTAGGGTAGAAATGGAGGGACATTCATGGTATTCTGCATATAGCAATTTTTGTGTGTTTATATACTGTGTATTAATAGGTAAGTATAGGATTTTACCTTCTGAGTACAGCTTATGTCCAGCACATATTGTAGTATTAAAGCTGGTTTTAGATGTAAAACATTTTATTGACTGCGGTGTTTATTTTGCATATTTGTCTAAAATCACAAATTTCATCTGTGCTAGGAAACTCTGTAGTTATACATGTCAGTTTTGTTTTTTTCTCTTTTAAATGTACCTGTCATTCTATCCTTGATCTATAAACCCTAATTTCCTCCCTCAGACCTATGGTGGAGGACATGCTGAGTGCTGATGACGTTAGCTGCAGCAGCTCTCAGGTCAGTGCGAAGTCAGAGAAGAACATGGCTGATTTTGACGGGGAGGAATCGGGCTGTGAGGAGGAGCTCGTCCAGATAAACTCCCATGCTGAGCTCAGCTCCCACCTGCAGCAGCACCTTCCCAACTTGGCCTCCATTTACCATGAGCATCTGGTGCAAGGTGAGCCACACTATGGAACTAGGACAGTTTAATTTATAACAATAATAATAATAGTAGTGAATCTAATCTCTGTCAGTCTGCCCCAGGGCAGCTGTGGCTACAACTGTAGCTGCCTCCACCTGTGTGTGAATGCGAGAGTGAATGAATAGTGGCATTGTAAAGCGCTTTGGGTGCCTTGAAAAGCGCTATATAAATCCAATCCATTATTATTGTTATTATTATTAAATCTGACCATGTGATTGCTCTTTATCCCCTCAGGTCCAGCTGTTCATAAACATCAGTACTCTAGCAGCCACGCTGTGACTGACATCAACTTGGATAATGTTTGTAAGAAGGGCAACACTCTGCTCTGGGACCTGGTACAAGATGAAGATGCGGTACGACTTCCCCAATATTTCCTTATAGACAATACTTTATGTTCACAGAGTTGATAGATGGTGCTTTAGTAGGATTGTGTAAAATTCATTTTATAATTTGCTTGTGTGTTTAGATTCATCTCTCTGAAGGTCTTATCAATGAAGCTGAGAAACTGCTGTGCTCGCTGGTCTGCTGGTTCACTGACAGACAGATTCGAATGCGCTTTATAGAGGGTTGCCTTGACAACTTGGCCCATCACCGGTAAGAGTGACCTCTTTATTTATTTTTTAAATTGTTGCATGAATGTATAAATACAACAAGCTTATGATATTTAGGACTTGTCTCAGATTGAATGTATTAAAAATGAATAATTGGTAGGCACCTGTCCTTGCAGTACACACATAAAAAGGCATGTTGTAGCTTCCTGTGCATAGATAAACTACTGATTTATCAACACCAGATAATCATTTCTTGAGCATTTAAAATGTTCATCTTATTTATCTTTGTAATTATTCTCGTTTGGGAATCTTGAAAAACTGGACTCTGTCTTCTTCTCTTCTCTCAGGTCAGTTGTGGTTTCCTTGCGTCTACTCCCTAAACTTTTTGGCACTTTCCAGCAATTTGGCTCCAGCTATGACACTCATTGGATCACCATGTAAGTTATACCACTTCTTCAGAGTGCAACAAAAGTCAAAATACCATGTGGAGTTTCAGATACAATTACATGGCTCATCAAAGCTGAGTCAAAATATTTGAGTCTTTCTGAAAAAAATAGAAATATGAGTATTGAAGTGTTTTGTTTTGTGAGCCTTGCACTGATTTGGTTGTTGGTTCTGTCAGGTGGGCTGAAAAGGAGCTGCACATGATGAAACTGTTTTTCGACAACCTGCAACACTACATCCAAGAAGTCAGAGAACACCGGCACAAATTTGCACTGTGAGTCTGTCTTACACCACTGCTACATATCGACACTACTATACAGAATATTGAGTCTCCCTTTATTTCTTTATATTTTGCTTGCAAGAAGCCGGACTCGTAATTCTTTTTAAAGTGTTCCCTGAAATTCT